CACCGGAAGGCGCCCTGTCCGGCTCGCTTTGCGCGCATCGAGCTTTCGTGACGAGGGGCGTCCGTGTCCGCAGGTGTCGCTCGTGCTTCTGGCAAAGAGCCTCGGCGCGACCCCCGCTCGGTCGCGGGCGGAACTCCTTTCGGGCAGCATCGCCGAGCGCGGCAGCCTCGCAGGGCGCAGCCTTGGCGGCCTCAGCCGGGTGTTCGCCAAGATGAGCAGCCGCAGCTCTGCGGAGGCGCGCGACGTCTCTGGAGGCGAGGAGGCGTCGGTGCAGCAGCAGGTCTGATCGGTTGCGCGATGTCGTGCGCAAAACGTGCGGCGCGGCGATGACCTGCAAACACGGGACGATTAGTAGAGCTAGCTCGCACATGGAGCATCCGTGGGATGTATGTGCGCGGTGCAGTCCCGTGCCTAGTTTTTTGAGGGAGCGGAAATTCTTTTGTGATTTGTGTATTCGCGTTTAGAGCTGTTTAACATTAACTTTGGGCCTAACAGTTGCGCTAGTGTTGGGTGAAATCCTTAACGTTGTTCAAGTGTTCACCCCAGCTCATGCTGTTACTGTTTTTGTTACTGTTGTTACTGTTGTTCAGCGGTCAGCAAGCAGAAAATGCCAAAAAAACCGGGTAAAACCCGAAAAACCTGGGGTTTTCCGGGTATTTTCGGGTATTACCCGCACTGGACGCTGGAGATCGTCGTGGGTCACTGCCAGGCCTTCCTTATTGTTGTTCAGCCGGCCTAACGTTAGCTACTGTTGTTGGGGAGCCCCACTGTTGTTCTGTTGTTACTGTTAACACTAGCAACACTGTTCAGCTCCCAACGTTAAACAGCTCTATTCGCGTTATCGAAGGGGCGGCGGGCGGGGTGGGGGGCATCCAGAAAGAAAGAAATAAACAGTAAGTCCCAGCTTGCGTCTCTGCGGTGCATCAGCAGGTCTGATCAGTTCGTGTCATCGCGGGTTTTGCAGCTCCGCAGCCTGCGCGCGCTGCCGGTAGTGGGGGAAATGGCTCAGTCTGCGAATAAAATTTTTCTGGGCCGCTCTTCTGGGCAGGTACGAGCTTAGAACTAAGGCTTAGTGCTTACTTCCTCTTGATCACAGCGGATTTTGGTCACAATTTTCACATCACCGCAGAGACGCAACGCGCTCAAAAAGTAGCAGGAATGGCTTAGAAGGCTCCAAAGGGGCTCCCAGCCACTAAATGTGTCCGCCCGGCCACTGAAAACGGACTCCGGCAAGCACTTTGTCCTGCCACGCGCACGCGCGCACACGCGCACTCACTCCCCTTGTTCTCTCTCTCTCTCTCAAATCGGAGGGTCGGTCTACGCAGCGGGCTTCGTGAATGAACTAAAGCGGCCCAACGTTTTGGTTTCATCAAGTTGCGCCAGATAGGGAGTGTGCCACGCGCCAGCTCCGTCCGACCGCGAGCGAGGGGCGGTCGGTCGGTGGGTGCTGGGTGGGCGCGGGGTGGCATCAACAAGTCGAATTTTTTGGGGCTCAGCGAAGAGTATACCAAACTTCGCAGTTCATCAAGTATCGCCGATGAGCTGCCAAGATTGATCAGTCGCAGACACAATTAAACAACGTCGTCTAACATGGGGCGCCCGTCGCCGACCTGTGTCATATCTTTGCAGTCGCAACCACACTTATGTCTAGGGTTCGGCGCGCGCTCACGCAGCTCGCCCTCGCGGCCATTACTGTTTCGCCGAGTGCCGCCGACGGACTCTATCGTCTCGCCGAGGCGTACTGCGATGGGGACGACTTGACGGACTACGTGTACCTTGGCGACGAAGCGGCTCGTCATCAGTGCAGCATCGACTCGGGCTGCAGCGGCGTCACCTGCGCGGTGAGTCGGGGAACGGGGATCGACGGCTACTGCAAGCTCAAGTCGACGGTCTATTCGGCCGCAAACGGGGACAGCCGATTCTACTGCCTCGCGAAATGCTCTGCGATTCCCGGCCCACTCTGCACCCCGCCCTCGCCGCCCTCACCGCCGCCGCCGTCCCCGCCGCCACCACCGCCGCCGCCCTCACCGCCGCCGCCGTCGCCGCCACCACCACCGCCGCTGCCGCCGCCGTCCCCGCCGCCGCCACCGCCGTTGCCGCCGCCGTCCCCGCCGCCGCCACCGCCGCTGCCCCCGCCGCCCCCGCCGCCGCCAAATCCGTGGATTTTGGGATCCCCGGGCATGATTTGCGACGATGTCTGCGACTTGGTTGGACTCACGTGCAATGCCGCGATGCAAAGCACGATTAACACGGAGGAGCTCATTCGTGAGACGGTGCGAAACGCTCAGAACGGGGCCGAATGCAAGCCCGATTCTATCTCGTCAAGATCGTACGCTGGCACCCCGTATATGACCATTCAGTACAACTCGATGCATTGCACATACTTTGTACCGGGATCAGGAGATGATGCGCTGTCAAGTTGCACCGGCAACTTGTATGCGTGGCATCGGCCTTTGTGCTACTGCTCGCCGACGCCGCCCCAGTCGCCGCCGCCTCCCTCGGCATCGCCGTCGCCGCCGCCTCCCTCGTCGCCTCCCTCCCCGCCGCCGCCGCCGCCGCCGCCTCCCCCGCCGCCGCCCTCACCGCCGCCGCCGCCGCCGCCGCCTCCCCCCCCGCCGCCCTCACCGCCGCCGCCCTCCCCGCCACCACCACCGCCGCCGCCCTCACCGCCGCCGCCGTCCCCGCCACCACCACCGCCGCTGCCGCCGCCGTCCCCGCCGCCGCCACCGCCGTTGCCGCCGCCGTCCCCGCCGCCGCCACCGCCGCTGCCCCCGCCGCCCCCGCCGCCGCCACCGTCCCCGCCGCCGCCACCGCCGCTGCCGCCGCCGTCCCCGCCACCACCGCCGCCGCCTCCGAGCCTGCCATCGGGCATATCAAGCGACTGCGCTGCTGCAGCCAGCAACGGCTGCCTCGACGACTGCTGCTCTTGGACATACTGCGCTGACGCACCCGATGACAATTGTGAGTATGGGAATATTCCAGCCAAGTGCCTCTCAGCACAGCCACAGCATGGCGGAGGAACTGGGGAATGTGTCGCCCAGCTGCCACTATCAGACCACCCAACATTCGCGTACAGTCTGAGCTGCTGCACACCGCCGCCGCCCTTGCCGCCGCCCTCGCCGCCCCCGCCCTCGCCGCCGCCGCCCTCGCCGCCACCAGCCTCGCCGCCGCCGCCCACCCCGCCGCCTCCCTCTCCGCTGCCACCACCCTCGCTGCCGCCATCATCACCACGGCCATCCCCCACCCCGCCGCCGCCCCCCACCCCATCGCCGCCCTCTCCGCCGCCACCATCACCCAAGCCCTCTCCGCCGGCGCCACCACCGCCGCCGCCGCCGCCATCAAAGCCGCCGTTTCCCGAGCCCTCGCCACCGCCACTCCCCCCGTGTGACGTGTCCGAGCTATTGGAGGACGCGCCGGCGGGCGCCGACACCATCTACGTGAGCACCTACTCTGTGGCCTAAACGGCTCGACCGGATCATGAACACCTCCAAGCAGCTCGCTGGTACGGGCGTGGTGGTTCACGCCGACAAGCGCCTGAAGACCTTCACCAAGAAGAGCGTCACCCCTCGGCTTGCCTTTGCCTTTCGCCGTCGTAGAAGCGGCGAGCAATCTGGGACTGTCAGCGACGTGCCTGAGAACGACTCTGGCGAGTTCGAGCGGACCCCGCGTGCGGCCTCGCCGGAGTCTTCAACCGAGATCAGCCTCCGCCTCTGACATCGGAGCGTGAGAGACGCTCGGCAATCACGACTCTAGTCTCTACACGTACGCTCGGGGCGCAGCCTCGCCAGCGGGATGCGCCCATCGCTGCCCAGCCCCGCGAGGAGCCTGCTGCGTGGGCCGTGGCCCGCTCCACTGACCACTCGCACATGTTCTGCGGCTGCGCGCAGTGCGGTGTTGCACACGCTCCACCGCCACTGAAGTTTGAATGTCAAAGCCACGGCGCGGGTGGAAATGCGAACGAGAATTTGTGCAATCTCGGCGGTGACGGTCAGCTCGGCAGGGGCGGCCGCGCCCAGCTCCAGCTCAAAGAAATTGTTGTAATGGTCCAAGGTCTCAAGTGGATCTTGCGCACAAACGTTCCGCGAGGGACCACACGCGCACGAGGGGTAGGCTCTGGGCACTTGCCCATTGTGTGCACACACAACACCACAGCGACTACATCTATATCACTCACCCACACACGCTACAGTATGTGGCTATGCCCACGGTCTCGCCGCTATCGCTCCTCTGCTGGCCAGCTCTAAAGCCGTACCGCTACCTCGCCCACGACTGTACCGCAGCTCGCCCCCGCCGCACGGCGCGCTCGAGGTGCTCGCTGGGCGGGGTGTCGCGCCAGCCGTCGGCCTGGAGCAGAAACGTGGCACTCGCGCCGCCGCCGTCCGCCGATGAGCCAAGGGCGGACCTCTCCTCGCGCGCCACCGCAACCTCGCGCGCCTCTCGGCGGCCGCAGTGCTCGCAGTACGTCTCGACCCGCTCCCTCCCCTCGCCCGTCGCCGTCGCGCCGGCGAGCGTGGTCGTCTCGCTCCGCTCGCAGCGGCAGTGGCACGAGGCGCACGCCTGGTACGCGTTGTGGACGCGTTGCGGACGCGTCAGCGGGCGTGCCATGGACGCGCCGAGGGCGGCGGCGGTGCGAGCAGAGTGGAGGCGGAGGCGTCGACAGGCTAGACATGGCAGGGAGCAAGAGAGTCAGACTGTGGGGGGGAAGGGCGGGCGCGGGGAGGGGGCGTCTCAGAAGAGTGTCTCAGAAGAGTGTCTCAGAAGAGTGTCTCAGAAGAGTGTCTCGGAGGTGCGTCTCGCACCGCCCCGTCGCCACCGCGAGGACTCGCTCCGTGTGGCAGCGCGGGCAGCGGAGCAGGCCGAACACGACGGCGCCGAGCCGCCGCTCGTCTCTGGTACGGAGGGGAAGAGGGGTGCGGGGGCCTTGTATCCCACCGACTCATCGTAATCGTGCGTCAGCTCATCGTCGCCCGCTTCGATTAATGCGCGCGTACACTATGTTGCGGACGGGCTCGGGCTGGTAGAGCGAGCCGAGACGCGATGCACGTTGCACAGCCGCGCGTGCGAGAAATACGCGTGGAAATCTCGGGAACTTGCACCGCATACACACCGTTGCCCGACAGGCAGCAGGTGCGCACCGGCCCGATGCTCACCGCATACACACCGTTGCCCGACAGGCAGCAGGTGCGCACCGGCCGCGTAGTCCGCCTTCTTGTACGCCACAGGTGAGCGGGGCCACGCCGGCCGCGCGACGGCGTGTTGTGGAAGCTTTGGGATGCGAGAAATAGT